CAAAATGATGTGTCGTAATGATGAAATTTTCCGATTATGACGATGATTTTTAGCGCAATGCGGAAGTGAATTACCGCAATGTAAAATGCGATCTGTAGCACTGATTGCAACGAAAAAACGATGATTTTTTCCCTAAAAACTGGCGATTCGCAATTTCCGAAATATAAACGACGGGTTAATAGTAACCATGGGTAAACTGAGTGTGGAAGAAGAATTTAAACACCTTTCTCGGTCGCCAACATGTCTCATCGTTCAAACCCTAGGCCTTTCATGATAGTCTCAAAGTAAACCATGCCCAATAACCAAGTACACGCCTTGACTATCACATTTTTGGCTTTTCGAAGGCTACTACTCAAAGAAATATGGATTACTCCAGAATTGCAACATCGATGATCATCCTTTGTAAATGACAGAACAGAAACGATGCGAATCACGCCGGCGTTGTTTACGTTCGCCATGCACTCTGAACTTGAAATTAATGCGAGTTTTCTCATAAAACTAAAAGCATGAACCAAACTAACATGCCAATCACGATTATTATGAAATGAAACACCCCTTTTACACGCATATTTTAAAGAATATCGTCGACGCCCAGTAAAAACACTCTGGGCTTATAATCGTGAATGCAATCAACTCGATAAATACCAAGTAAAAACATAGGGATGGGCTTCATACTCGGGAGGGGCTTACGATCGGGGAAGTACGGTACTTTAACGCAATTGGGCTTTCACTCTCAGAATACTGTGGTTCAAACGCATAAGGCTCTAACCCAAGTTTTAAAAAGCACATTGTGCATATAAAAGTTGAGTTTATACTAATAGTACACAATGCTTGGCAGCATGAACGGCTATGTACAATGGCGTATACGAATGCGATCAGATACTAAAACGTCATAGCTTTGAAAAGTACCCGGATGTTAAATATGTTCGTTCGTTAATTATTCCCCTCCATGAATGGCCTCCATGGCAAGCACTTCAAATGCCTATCCAAGCTACAGTAATAATTAAAACAAAATTAAACCACTGCAATATTATTTCGAATATAGTTTAGAATATACACAACTTTAAATTAAGGCCGCATTTAGGTTCGCTTTAAATTTACTTGCAAAGATATACATCAAAGTACCAACATGTCACAACAGTAGCTCTGTTAACTGATTAAATTTGGGGAAAGTAATGGCCAAACAAAACGCAATTCAATGAATTGTATGAATATGCATGGTGGTTTAACGTCAAGGTCACGTGACCGCTTTAAGCTACCCAAAAAAAAACATTGCTATCATATTTTTTCGGAATCTACACAAAATAAGCTTCAATTTGATATATGATAGCCTTCGCCACCCCGAGTGGTAATGATCCACCATTTTTATCCACTTGGCTCATGAACTAAATGAGCTAGCTAAAGTGTTGTTTCCACATGTCGGGAATATTGGCGTGGGCATTACCCGACATTTGAACACATTGGATTATTGTTACTATTTATAGAACGAACCTTAAACCAGAATGCTAGACGATCACGATCACAATCTTTCACAGCTGTGAGTAGACCGTCTGAACGTGCTGTATTTTCCAAACGTCGGCAAATATTGTAGAGCAGCTTAAACCTGGCACGAGCTCAACTCATTGTAGTATACACCGGACCATTTTTATGATTCTGATCATCAATTTTAAAAGCATCCCGCGCTTAATCGTGGTCATCTCTAACATAATCATTGCAATCAGGAATATATCTATTGCGATATTGCTTCGTACCTCTAAATTATCTTATCAAAATTAGTTTTCAGATTTTTTTGCCACAAAAACGAAAGAATGTCACAGTGTTGAAAATGGAAAGTCTTTATCGTAGTGTTTCGGTTTATTTCATTTATGCCATTAGGATTTTCTCATGTTAGAGTGATTGTGGTTTTCTTTTACTATTCTCATGACTCTACTAAATAAATATCCCCAGGTAAAGTCGTGTTTCACGTGATGTCATACTGAACAAACGTACAACATATATATTTTGATTTAAAAAATAAACAGATCATGCCGTTTTTCGCCGAAATCAATTCTAACAGATCGCCCACTTCCGCATTGCGTTAATTTGAATATCCGGGAAATTGCGTCGGCGCAACACTGCATTCTTATTGGTTGATAGCAAAAGGACGTTATTGCAGGTTAAATCGTGGGAAAACGCATCATGGCGGACATTGCTTTGCGTCGATAATTTGCTCAACATCGAACACATTCGACAACGAAGATAATGATAAATATCGCGACTAATATTTGAGTACAACGTAAATTCAGATGGTACGTAATGGTAATGAAATATTTTTGTGACCATTTCTGTTTCTTCATTGTAATAGTACTGTGGTACGGTATATCTATATATAGATCTAAATATGTATATAAACGCTGGTAGAATTTTATTTTCAGTAGTAATATACAATTATTCTGTAGAGACTGTGGCTATTTCAACAATAGTGATGCTTTGATGTACACCAGAACTTCCTAAATAACCGTGATACCCCTGTAAGCATAACAAAGCCTGTCTGGTATAGATCTCACAGAAAATATTATTTATAACTATTGCTGGTTATTAGATGTTGCAAAGTCTAACAACACTTACTGATGATAATACAAGATTGACTGACAATGACGCCAAGATGTTGTCCTTCCTGTTCAGATACTTGCACTGTATTTAAAAATAATAAGTACGCCCTCTATGTAGCAGTAATTATGATGACGTTATTCATGTCAAGTCATTTAAGCAGGTAAGACAATTAAGCTTATATTTGTTGATAATTCATGATGATAGGATACTTTGCCACTGTATTTATTCGAACTCATTTTTTGTTTAAGCGCCATATTGTTTTTCACCGCAGTTTTGACTGTTTTCTATAATTCGTCCTATAACCTATTCCCTACAGGTTTTGCTTACCATTTTTGAAAGGTATGAACAACTGATAACGGTGTTGAGAATTATGACAAATGTTGACTTTTACACCTGAAGGGTCATCATTACAAAGACGTGTACTCAACCTTTCCACCACCATTTTCATCATTTCTCGCCAACATTTTTCTGCATTTTTTCTTATATTCTTGAATGTTTCTGGTATGAATCCGAATTTTTAGGGCAACAG